ACTATCTTACCATGATGGGCAGACTGCACTGTGAGCCAAGTTACTTCGTGAACAGATGAGTCGTACTGATCTAGATGATGGTACGCCAATGGGCTGCGTATCCAGATTGCTATGCCACCACCATGTTCAGTCCTGTCACGCCGGAGTGGGCCGGAGTACCCTGGGATGGCTAACTCGTGAAGGGAGAATTTCTCTGCGGTGATCTTGGTTTCAGTAACAACAGCGATATCAGCTTTGGAGGATACAAGCGCGTGTTGAAACTCTCCAAATTTGGACATGATTCCACCAGCATTTGTAAGGAGGATTTTCATTGTTGCTTGCTTGCAGTATCTGCGCTGCTGCTTTTGTTGTTGCTTGCAGTATCTGCGCTGCTGCTTTTGTTGCTACCTACGCTTTGCAGTGGATTGGGCAGGGATGGGGATGTCTCTGGCGTGTCAGTTGGTGGGCAGCCAGGCTGAGCTGACCCTGGTACTGTCTTGTGAGTGTCGGATGTGTGGAAGGTCCACCTCCTGCAATAAAGTGGCCTTGGCCAGAAGTTGGCAGCCAGCAGGATATGCAGGGAGCTGGCATCCACAAACGCTCTTGCAGACATGCAGCCGCTAGCATTGACATGCATGCTACAGGTGTGGAGCACTACTGGTGTGTCGGAGTTGACGGCCCTGCTACGCAAATCAACAAATTCGCGTAACCGGTCTTCAGTTGTCTCCCTGCTGAGGTTACCAACATATACGACAGCTCTCTTCGCTCTGTGGGGCTCATCTGCAATTAGTTTCCATGCATCGTCGGAGATGGGCTGCAACACCTTTGTGCTCTTGTTGCGCTTTCGTCTCCGTGGCTGCTGAAAACCGTCATCCGCGTCAGTCTCGCTCACGCTGTCCACATTGTGGCCAGGGCTGGCTGCTGGGCGAGCATCAGCAATACAACTTCGACATATTCGGCGTCGCAGAAACCTGGCTTGACAGCACAACGTCAGACAGTGATATTGATATACCAGGTTACTGTGTGATACGGCACGATCGTCCAGTGCGCAGAGGTGGCGGTGTATGCTTTTATTTCCGTTCCGGACTCCAGGTAAAACCGCGCCCAGAGCTTTCCGACGCTAACATTGAATCGTCCTGGATCGAAGTCAAAGGACGACGAAGGCGACAACTAGTTGGGTGCTTTTACCGGCCACCTGACGAGCCCATCTTGTACTGGCAGAATTTTGAAGAGCAGCTGCACAGGGCTTTCGTGGACAACCCAAGCATCACAGTCATTGGCGATTTTAACGTTAATGTTTCAACCCCCTACCCACCTTGTCCCATCGCCCGGAAATTTCTCGAACTTTGCAACTGCTACGGCCTCACTAATCACGTTCATGCTCCGACTCGTATCTCACCGGCGTGCCCATCTGGTACAACTATCGATCTCATTCTTTCAGCTAGTCAAGACATCAGTGAGTGCCACGTCCTGCCTTTGACCATTAGCGACCACTTGGGGATTGAGGCTAACCTGCACCTTCAGGTTTCTCGCAGCGTGTCACCTCAGGCAGTAGAGCGGGTCCGAGCTCAGAGAAATACTCGGTCGGTGAACCTCTGCGAATTCCGTCGGGATGTCAGCTCCGCAGGGCTGGATGATTTTACTAACACGCGGGATGTGGACACCATGTGGGCATCGTGGCACACCAAGTTCTTGGCTGTCGTGGACAAGCATGCACCCATCCGCTATGTATCCTCCAACCGCAAATCCCATCCGCCCTGGTCCGACAGAGAGCTCCACAAGCTCAACCAACGTAAAAACCAGCTACACCGACGGTGGCTACGCGATAAGGGAAACCAGAATCTTCACGTACAGTTCAAGCAAGCACGCTCAAGCGCCAGACATGCCTATCGCCGAAAGCGCAACGATTTCTTCCGAGCGCAATGTGCCGCGTCCAGTCAGAACCCGCGTAAGCTCTGGAACGTCATAAACTCCGTTACGAACAGGAAGAGAGTACGTGTGGAGCCTACTTGCCCCATTGAAGAAGTTTCGTCAGTCTTCCAGGCAGTAGTAACAGACAATGCCCGTCCTCACAGCATCCCGCTACCGCAAGGTCCACAGCCTCAGACTGCAATGTCAGAATTGCCGCAAGTGTCTTTTGGCGAAGTAGAACGGCTTCTCCGACAAATCAATCCTGCCAAAGCAACAGGAAGCGACGGGATACCTGGTCACCTTCTGAAGTGCTGTGCCGATATTCTAGCTGCGTCCGTGGCCACGTTGTTTAATGCCTCGCTTGTCAATGGCACTGTCCCCACAGCCTTCAAACTCGCACACGTTATCCCGCTGTTCAAAGCTGGGGACCCGTCTATTCCCACTAACTTCCGTCCAGTGTCCCTACTTCCCATATTATCAAAACTCTTGGAGAAAGTCGTGCAAAAGAAGCTAGCCCAGTTTCTGGACATATCCGGTACCCTCCCCACGACTCAGTTTGCATTCCGCGCAGGCCACTCAACGGAGGATGCCCTGGTACTTATGCTAAATCGTATTCTTATTGCACGGGACAAGCGTTTGTGTACTGGCATATGCCTTCTAGATATGTCAAAGGCATTCGACAAGGTTCGTCATGAACGGCTACTCCAGGACCTATTCGATATCGGCATAACAGGGACAGCCCTAAAGTGGTTTTCCGCCTATCTGTCGGGCCGTACTCAGCGTATCTGTATTGGACGGGATCAGAGTGCCATTTCTGCACCATCCTGTGGCGTGCCACAAGGTTCTGTTCTAGGACCGATCCTTTTTAGTATCTACACCCGCGAAGTTCCAACCATAGCTAACCAGTCTTCATCAGTTCAATTTGCCGATGACATCGCGCTGATCAGCAGCAGCACATCCCTGAACACGGCATCTCCTACGCTATCGGCCTCGGTTTCTGCACTTGCTGACTGGTTGCAGACCCGTGGTCTCATTTTGAATGCAGCCAAGAGCCACGTGATCCCTGTATACCCCAACAGGCAGCCTCAGCAGCCCCAGCATACGATCAATGTAAACTGTCACGAAACGCCGATTCCTGTCGTTACTGCGGCCAGGTATCTTGGAGTGCTCCTCGACTCGGATCTGTCATGGACGCCCCATGTTGATCGCTGCACCGCTCGACTGGCCCAGAGGATCGGAGCACTATGGAGGTTGCGTCGCTGCTTGACTCATCAGAGCCGAGTTCTCTACTTTAAAGCGATCATCATGTCTGACCTGATGTACGGCTCCAATGAGTTTTCCCCGCTTCTTACTGCCAACCAATTGGATCGGCTACAAGTCATGCAGAATCGGGCGGCAAGGGCTGTTTTCGGACTCTCGCATCACACCTCCGCGCGTACCCTCCTGCTGCAATTGGACACCTACAGGGTATCCGAGATATTCAGGCAGAAGTTCATCGTTCTGGTCTGGAGGTCTCGGAATGGGCACGCAAGTTCTGATCTGCAAGCCCTCCTAGTTCCTTCGTCAGCTGGCCCAACTAGGTTGCACTCCACCATGGGTCTGCGCCAACCGCCAGTTTCCACCAGGTTCGGCAAGGGTTGCCTCGCGTTCCGGGGCGCCCAGCTGTGGAACACCTTACCCAGCGACATACGTGCCATCTCCACGCTCCGCCAGTTCCGCGCCAGCATGATCCCGCACACCCTTAGTACCTAGAATACCAAACGTCCTGTTTGATGATCAGCTGGCTTAGTTTTTCTCCACCTGTATCCTAATTACATCAGTCCCCAATTTCATTTATTACTGCTTTCTATCTGCATTCGCCACCTTTTCATTGGGCAGATCTGCCCGTTTGGTTTGCGAATTAAAATAAACACAACAACAACAACAACAACATCATTTTCAAATTCAGTACGGGGCGCATCGGATGCTGGACCTTGGTTCAGCGCGCTGCTGTAGCTGGTAGATCTGCTCGTACTCGCACTCATGCTACACTGCCTGCAGGCTGTGCGGGGGTCAGTACGGGTACGGTCAGGGTTCGTAGTACGTCCTGGCTGGCATGGCTGAGGAGCTTTCGCCGCGGCAATGGCGGATTCTTTGAGAGAAGCTACCTCCTCCTTCAGCTCAGATACTTGTCTGGATAGCTCATCGAACCTATTGTTCAGGCGATCCTCGCGATCGGCGGCCTCGGAGACAAGTGCGGCCAGACTTTTTAGCACTGCCGATACATCCGACTCGATACTAGGCAGGGAGCCCAACATTTTCGTCTCAGATTCAGTCAAGGCTGATACACGAGAGTTAGTTCTCGTGGTAGCTCCGGGCATGGCAAGTTTCCGACACTACTCTACTTCTAATCACTGATCTAGTCTACTTCCAGTCCGGCCTGATGCCGGCTGGGCTGCAAAAAAGGGGAAAAAAGGAGAGCCCGAAAAACGCGTGCCTCACTTTTCAGTTCCAAAGAAAGACTTAACTTTCGCTATATTCGTTAAGGGGCACGAAATAACTAAAGGTTGTACCCTACTAAAGTTTTTTTTCTGAACGTTCGGGGTGACAGACCTCGACCAAAAACGAAATTTAGGACGTGACACACCTGCTGGTGGAGTGATATAACGAAAGACTTCGTAAACGAAAAATTGTACTTATACAGTAGAACATTGGCATACATTGTATGCAAGCTATGTTTACGCTTCATGCATTTGTTCGGCTGAGAGCGCGTGGTGGTGACGGGTTTTAGCTCATAAAGATTTCATGTTTAATTTAACAGTGTGGGTCAGGAAATCTGATCCTTCTGAAGGCATAAATCGGTGATGGGAGGGCGAAATCAATAATATAGCCTGCTATGCATGGCATGAGAGACGGACGCTTTTTTTACATGACACTAAAAACTAGTAGTAACTACCACACTTTTCACATCACCTTCTATTTCATACGAAATACAAAAAAGATCGAGTCCTGGTGTGACCGTCAATATTTGTTCGAATGTTTCCCTTTGCCAACGACCTCAACTGATGAATATTTCAGCTGTTCAAAAACTTACTTTTTAATAACCCTCTTTTTCATGTATCTACCTGTAGGTATAGCCACTACAACTGTTAGATCAATCACAACAGGAGACGCGAGCACGATTACCATGTCTCAGACAACGGTCTATATTCTGGTGGCAGCAACTTCCGTCCTTGCAGTACTTCTTGGTGTCATAACTCTAGTGTATTGTTTGAAGACGAAGAAAAGAAACCAAACTCAATGTACAACCAGAGCAGTAAGTAGAGGTACAACAGCATGGGAAGCACGCCAAGGTCAAGAGGTTGCTGCAACGCTGACGCCAAGTGAACTGTACGTGTTATCCGATTGTACTACTCAACTGGTGGTCAATAACACGGCTACAACGGAATTTTCGAACGTTGGCAACATAGCGTCTTCCAGCTGTCCCAGCCAAGTTGACATGACAGTCAATCCTGTGTATGACTTTCCTGTGTATGAAGAAACTGCACCACCACCGACCAAGCATGGGCGAAGCACCGCAACAAATACAATTGAATGTAAACACATGTACGAGGAGGTGATTGCTTTCCCAAAGAATTAATCCCTATCACAGATTGACTATGCACAACATATGTAATACAAACCAGCAGATGTGCAAGAAAGAAAATAATATTTCCTTTTTCGCCCATCTACGGATTTTAAAATTAAATTTGGCATAATGAGAACAGTGGCAGAATTTTGAACCGAATTTGAAAATATGACTGTTATCGAATTGCTGGTATCGAGCACATACCGCCAGTTTGCATGTCGAGTTTTTAATACAATGCAGGATTTCACGTTTTGGTATTTTAAGTTTTTGTGCTGTGTGTACCTCGATCGCTGCTACGATAATTTTGCCACAATCATAATCATACCCAATTTTCGAAGCCTTCACAATGTACGTATTCTCGTGCCATTCATTATGCACATCAGTTTGAAAGCATAATTCGAAAAACTCGTATAGCTGCTGCGTTCAATACCATGATTAGAGCATTGTATTTTTTAGTATTCTTCTGAATTTTACTTGTATTCTACATCGCAAGTCAAACAGGAAGTCATGCCCAATGTTATGATGACGATATAAAGGTAGAACAGATTGAGGCCTTTAGGCTTCGACCCTTGCCATAGCATTAAAGTAAAAAAAAAGTAAATTATCGTGTCCGTTCCCGAAGGGAACTCACGACGGCCGCTAACACCCGATAAACCCTAGCATTGCGACCTTTTAAGGCTTCACCCCTTGTGTAATAGTATTTACATGAACAAATGAAATGTTTTACATGAATCGTGGCCGAGGGTATTCATATGAAAGCAATGAGATTTTCTTTTTGCAGCAGTGATCACCTTTTCGTTCCCCACTAACCTTTCACAGGAAATGTCCAATCCAATCTGATCCTGTGACTATCTACCGATGATTTCTAACTCCATCCAATCGCCGAGGATCATTTCCTCTCTTGATGCTTATTTTGCAATCATACAAGCACATACATCATTTTCTTTTCCATGTTGCGTATTTCTGATGTGCATGTTTCATTTCTGTGTTTGCACTTTTACCCTTGCAATTTCTAACACATCGCGCAATTTACATGTATATTCCCGAGCACCGTCTTATCAACGTCCACTTTCTTCTGATGATTGAATCTTCTGCCACGAAACTCAGAGGAACAACAGAATAAAGTGTACCACCACGTGACGGTGTGGACATGCTTTCATGGCTAATTTCCACTACAGCTATTCAAAAAGTCCTCAATACCACTGGCTAAAGTTCTCTAACATCGATACAGTGTAGATCTACTAGGAAATAATTCTGAATATGCTGGCTAATGACAACTCTGCGTGAACCTTTGAGTGCGTAACACTAGAAATATCGATCCACGATCCTGACTAAATACACACACATACACACATACATGTATACAAACACGCGTAGACGAACATTCCGACATACACACATACTCGCTCGCTCGCTCCGTGGCAAACACGCACATACACGTGCTTACTCACGCACGGACACTCGCACACGTATACACACGCACACAAATATACACACTCACGCGCACACACGCACACACGCACATGCACACACAAACGCACATACACATGTACATACACACACACACCTCGAAGCCGTGTGAGATTCATTTCGATTTAGCTGTGTGCGTTTGCACCCTGCTTGGTTTGTGCGGTTGGTCTGCATACAGTGTGTGGTTCTTCTACTTCACTCTTCAGTAGTGCTGCGTCTCGAGCTCCTGTCCTCGGTTGAGCCTCGCTTCGCTTTGTCTTTCCCCATTTGAACCTTGAACTTGCCCAATGCCGTAGGCAATGATAGCGAAAGGACTAATTCGGCGGCAACCGGCAGAAAGGTTTGTGGTGCTTGAGATCGCCGGGATGGCGACACGTCTTCCCGCAAGCACAACAATACTCTGGCTCGGCGGAGACATCACGAGGCTGAGGACAACGGTGGATGACCTCCCCCCACTCCGAGCGGTTCTGGGCAGTGTCGAGCTAGTCCTTCTCGGGGACAGGTGGATGAATGCGGTTGAAGTCGTCCACAACCACATCCCGCCAACGCTTGCGTCGGCCGTGCTGAGGTCGAGTTGCAGAGAGCTCCCCAAACAGGGTACACTTGGGCAGACCGTCAGCTTGACAAATACCAAAACTATATCAATCAAAACTCCCACCAGTGAGCCCGTTCACACACACACACACACACACACACACACACACACACACACACACACACACACACACACACACACACACACCTTGAATCTTGAACCTTGAACGTGCCCATTGCCGATGGCAATGATAGCGAAGGGACTATCTGCTAGCGTTGCAGTACGGAGCGTGGCGCTTGCGGTCCCCTGGACGACGACAGACCTTTCCACATGCGCAGCGGAAGCCAGAGTCAGGATCAGAAGGAGCACGGGCGGGAGGACGACGATGAGCAATCTGCCTCCAGGCAGAGCGATCCTGGGCGGCATCAAATCAGCAGTCAGAAGGCACAGGGGGGCTGATTGAGCGGAGATCATCCACGATGACGTCACGCTACCGCTTGCGTGGACCATGGCGTGTTGCAGGGAGCTCCCCAAACAAAACTCGCTTCGGCATCCGGTCGTCGTTCATCCGGCCAACATGGCCAAGCCAACGCAGTAGATATTCCCGGATGATGTCAGCGACATCACAGTCAATGCCGAGGGTTCACACACACACACACACGCACACACACACACACACACACACACACACAAACACACACACACAGGCCGAACGAATCTATAACATTTTACTGGTATGGTTAGGTCTCCTTGCTGACAGTTGATTACACCTGTTCCGAATATCGGCACATTTGTTGATCACACCTGTTCCGAATTGCGGCCCATTTGTTGATTATACCTGTTCCGAATTGCGGCCCATTTGTTGATTGCACCGTTTCCGATTTGCGGCGCATTTGTTGATTACACCTGTTCCGAATTGCGGCCCATTTGTTGATTACACCTGTTCCGAATTGCGGCCCTTTTGTTGACTTCACCTGTTCCGAATTGCGGCCCATTTGTTGATTGCACCTGTTCCGATTTGCGGCCCATTTGTTGATTACACCTGTTCCGAATTGCGGCCCAACTGGTGATGACACCTGTTCCGAATTGCGGCCGTTTTGTTGACTACACCTGTTCCGAATTGCGGCCCATCTGTTGATTACACCTGTTCCGAATTGCGGCCCATTTGTTGATTACACCTGTTCCGAATTGCGGCCCATTTGTCGATTACACCTGTTTCGAATTGCGGTCCATTTGTTGATTACACCGGTTCCGAATTGCGGCGCATTTGTTGATTACACCTGTTCCGAATTGCTGCCCATTTGGGGGAAAACGTGCTCGAAGCAAGCACGTATAATGTGTTTAGACACCAAGCAGATGGTTATACATGGTTGGCACAACAGGGCCATCCGAGTAAGGGGTCGTCTCCTTTTCCTTGCTCCTACAGTAACCATAAAACATAGACAGCACCGTGATCATGGTTGGCATTTCTTGCACACGCTGTATTGTCAACAAGAGATCGTCTTCTGTGCAGAGTTCGCTACACCACCGGCCATATCCCAAGGATGGATAATAACATGAAACCGTATGGTAAAAGTAAGTTCATTTCGTTGCTAATAGGGCCAGTGCACTAATACATGTCATAGCCCGTGGAGGTCTGTAATCGATCATGCACACCAAAAGAAGGCAACTAGGGATGGTCTGTACTACTTACTTGTTCTCAGCTTGCAAAGAAGTTCCATGCATTTGTAAATAGCGAAATAGACTTGGAAGACTTATTCACACCTTTGCCTCGTTCTGAATACGCACACGACGTAGTAAACCTAATGTTTGACGGGTTCGATTCTTGAAATGACGGGAGGCTGAGAAGAATTGGTTCATACCTACTGCTTCTACAGAAGAGCATGGCCGCAGATGGCATCGCTTCAGAAAAAAGGATGGTCAATTCTCTAGAACATTGCTTCACGTACACAGGAGGCGGAGGGCTGTTGGAAACATCAGACGGCTATATTTAGTATATTTAAATCCCAGTGCAGTAGAGCATGACTGGAGTGTTTGCAAGCCGACCTAATTATTTCGTGCTGGTTTGAACTTTAATCCGTATGTCTGAAGTGTACGTGTAGAAATAGGGCAGTGCTACTGGTCAGCGAACATACTCGTGCAAGTAGTACGTTAGGGGCGAAAACCTCAGGAAATCTCATGAAGCGTTATTCAGCCAGCAAAGGGAAATCCCAGTGCAGTAGAGCATGACTGGAAAGAAGGGAAAAAGAATCATGGCACCAAACTCTGTGCTGGTGGCGCAATATTGACAGAGTGAATTTCTCCCATATTGGAACAGGTATTCCCTCAGGACCCAATACATTCTTTCATAACATTGGAATTCATTGATTAATGTTTGTACTTGAAGTTACGCAATGTTCACACGCCGCTGCCGCTGGTCGAGATTGACAAGCCCGTGGTCGCCAGGCTTTTGTATGAGTTTGAATAGTCAGCAGAAAGAAAGACAGCTTCCCCGCGCTGGTTTCCAAATTCAGAATCAAGGGACAGCTAACTGTAGAATGTTCACGAACGTTCCACTGATTAGTGGTATTTCGCTCAGCAAGACAACTGATCATATTGTGTGAATATCTTCATATTGATTACAGATCCATTGAGAACCAGTGTACTATTCTGCTTGCTGCCCTCAATGTGCTGGATATACTCAACTTCTGCCCAAGAAATATCATGTGGAGCCATCAATCGATACACTCAACGGGTTACAAACGATGACAGTATCATTCGGAGTTACGTCTCTTTCACTACTGCTAATGCTACTGCTACTGCTACTGCTACTGCTACTGCTACTAGAAGCACACCGCAAACTCAGCTGTCGTCCAGCACACCATACACAGTAGTTTTCAAATATCCTGGAAATTGCAACTTGGTAGCTCGTAAGATTTCGTTCACGTCACTAGGTATGTGTGACTTCAGTGTGCATCGTCAACAGCACAATGGAGAGGTGTGGTCAAGTTGGACATCTGTACAATTTTCTCATCACCAGCATATTGATAGAAATGGAGCGAAGTGGTACGATGAACTAAGGATAGTACTACCCATTCTGAGACGTACCCGTATCAGATTTAAAATACGGAACCGAAATAGATGTCGCACACCCCTGGTCGGTATTGAGCCATTCATATCTCTGGTTTGCGAGGGTAAGCTCTTTTTACAAATCATCATCCCATTTTCCCGTTTTGAATTATGTAGAGAAATGGACGGAATGAGTCCAGACATAGGTATACCAATATAATGTCAGCAGAGGCAAGCCGGGCCTCTCGAGCCGAATCCATCTGGACGACCTAAGACAGTTTGCTGCAGATCGCAATGAATGGCGGCAGATAATTTGAAGGAGTCGCCACAACTGCTGGATATTGACATACATAATGGACAGAGCTAGAGAACAGCAGCGGAAGCATGTATGGCACGGCTGTGCATGTTGTACGCGTATCTGTGTTATTATTATTATTATCTACAATGTACGTTTGAAGATGATCGTATTCCAGAGTCATCATTTTCGCTTCCCACCCTTCAGTGGAAATTATGAAGCTAATGTTGTTAACTTCATGAACGGAACATGATTAAATGTCAACTGTGTGGGGTTCATGCACCGTTTTTAGAGGGCGCGATTTGCAGAAGGCAAAGAGCGCAATACACAAGCAGAAAGACGAACATTTGCGATTTCGTAACTCTGAGTCACATGAACTGACTCGGATCTTCTTCTTAGGACATCGAATGATCGATTACATTTTTTAAACTCAGAGTTACGACATCGCAACTGTTCATCCTTCTGTTTATTATTATTATTTATAGTATCATCAACCTATTCGCGTTGTCACGCCAAGCAAGCTTGGCTAGTCTTCGCTTAGGCCAAATGGAATGAATAATGAGGAACGAGCTTGGTCAATGAGGTGCTAATACGCATGCAACAGCGGAATTTTGTAACATTTCAACAGCAGAATAGTAAAAATGAAACATTATCCTTCTGTTTGTGACATTTTAAGAGAGTATGTCTGAGAAAACCAGACAATGTGCTCACGTTGATCTCTCCGATTTCGCCCAAATATTGCAGTAATTCAGAATAGGTGTAGACCGACTGTGCCAAGCCCTTGACAAAGTTTCTCAAGCATGAAACTGGCATACCCCTCAGATATGGTCGGAACATCACATAAGATATGGGTCTACAAACAGGAACAGCGTAAACGAACAAGCTAAGAACAAACTTCCATCAAGCCAACATTGCTTCACCTTGGAGGAGGTCCTGACGAAGCACCGCTTAGCCACGCAAGCATGCCAGAGGACGAGAGCCATCGTCCCTGACAAATAATGAAAAGCCAATTTACAAGCGATGATGAAAGGCCTACGTACTCATTAGCCATTGGCTGGTAGCTTCGCTTACTTAAAGCTCGTCGCTGTACTGATAAGGCATGTACGGCCAAAACATGTTGCTGTCTACAGCATTGGGTTTCCTTGAAATTAACTTTTTGGAATTTTACCACTCCACCATGCTGAAATACGTCCAACCTCATACCTGAGCAGGAAAGCAGGCACCTTGCGACGTCTAGTGAGACATTTCTACTCCAACACAACTCCCGACGCTGCAGAACAAAAAAGTGTGTTGTTGACTCTGACAGGGGAAAGCAGCGAGGTTCGTCTCAAGAGTGTCTGAAACTCTGAGTTGCGACTAAGTGTTCACTATCCTCTTGATGCTTGCATATACCTATAATATCGGTGCTTGTATAGACGTTAATGAATGTACAGAAACTCCACATCTATGCAATCCGTACAGTGGAGTTGATTCTGGCCGATGTTTCAATAACTATGGTTCCTACTCCTGCGTGTGCCACCCCTCGTTTACACAGGCTGGCGGAACATGCCAAGGTTAGTAATAATTTGATGGTTCCCGCGGTGGATTTCTGCAGCCAGTGTATCCTGTACTTGGTGTAACCGACAGCCTTCCGACTCGGAAGGTTTAAGGTGATGGAAAGACCAAAGAGGGGAGGGTAAGCGCAGCGAAAACGAGCACAAGCTACAGTCCCAACGGAACAAAGAATGTCGATTGTTACTGGACGATGACGAGACCAGTAGGATATTTAACAACCTTCTTTACTTATCTTTGATATTTATGACCCACCCAAGTTGGGTGGTGTGCTGCGTTGCTGCTTCGAATTGTAGTGAGACTGCTTTGTCAAATGTCGTACTGGTCTCGTAATCGTTCAATAACAATCGACATTCTTTGTTCCGTTGGGACTGTAGCTTGTGCTCGTGTTCGTTGCGCTTACCTTCCCCTCTTCGGTCTTTCCATCACCTTGAACCTTCCGAGTTGGAAGGCTGTCGGTTAGCGCTACGGAGATGTGTTGAAGCTAGGTGTCAGGTCGTCGAATGTCTCCGTCCTCTGTCAGTTTTGTACCCAGTTGTTGCACTTTCCGACTGTATAATAGTATCTGGTTACAGTTATGGAGAGTTACTCTTAACTCGTATCCATATGTCCTTTTCCTTTCTACATTTATTTTTGGCTCAACATCCGAGTTTCAGATAACAAAGTTACAGGGAGAACGAAGAAACGACTAGAACACAGAAGTTGAGGTTTGGCAGAACAAACAACTATTGAGTCAGGGCTGACTACTAGTATCCACTAGCGCAGCTGTGTAGGTGGGCGTTGTGGACTCCCCCGACCAAAGGTCTCAGTATCCTTCCAATTTCGAAAAAAAGTGTCAGTACCGACGCAATCCACGCAGTCAAGGAAAGCCAGTTTAGCAAACGAATTATTATATTATTATTATACGCATTCCCGCGTTGAAGTGTAGCAGCAGTATGCTGCGTCCACAGCTTCGCTTATGCAGAATGGCTTGGGTGAGAGGAGAGGGGAGAGAAAGCAACAAGGCAACCAACATCTATGAAATTGGTCACAATAACATGAAGAGAACCAACCTACATAATGCATGATTGCACAAGAATGGAGACGACCAAATATAATGGCTATAATCATTGTGCCACAAAACCGGTACACAGGAGATCTGACGAAAATGTAACGAAACATAAAACTCAGGTACTCAATACAGGTTCCACTAAATTACAAGAGAACAACGCTACAACGTTAGAATTGCCGCTAAATTATCGCAAGTGTAGAGAACGAGTCCAATACAAATGAAAACCATGAACAGACTGTCCCGAAGTTATTTTGGGAACAAATTGTACTACATGACTGTACTTGCTGATACTGACGCTGACGGAACACGAATTTGAGTTGAATACTCACGAAGTCTTGTACATGCACATCATTATGCGCCGGTGTTGTGGAGTAAGCAGGTACGTCAGTCACCAATCCAGCTTCAGCTCCACGCTCGCTTCAGCAGAATGTTGCCCGCGTTTGCTTTGCCTCCACACGGATAGACGACCAGCGCAGAGTCCCGCAGCTCCGTGGCCGTAAGGTCTTGATATTCGCCGTTAGCGCCGTCACGGCAAGTCTCAGTCCACCTCTCACACCAAGCCGCCCTATAAAAATCTTTCTCTCTCCATTGGAGTGCTCCCCAGTTGCGCGAGGAGACTGGAGAAATTCCTCCGGTGAGCGAGGAAGAAGAGCGGAGTTACCCAACTCAACCTAACAACCTTAAGTGCAGAGAATAATGGGAAAATGCCAAAATATAGCAACTTATAGAGCAACGACCTATGCTTTTGCTGTAGCTCTAGAAGTTGTTGTATTTTGACATTTTTCCATTATTCCCTGTACTAGTGCTTACCAATGATGAAAAGGGACGAAACGTTCCGGTCCTAATTCGGCTTTACTTAACTGTGTGAATTGAGTGGGTGCTGACATTTTTTTTCAAAAGAAGAAAGAGTTAGGCCATCAGTTAGTATGGTAGTGCTCAAATGTCCCGTTTAGCGACAAAATTCATATCCATGGAAACCACGGATTTTTTCCACATTTTCCTCCGTGTGACCGGGTTCTTACTACATGTAGATTGATGTAGAAAAGATGTGATAACTGTCGATTCATGTTATCCAGCTGTCGAGCGTATTGCACAGAGCACTTTTGAATGACATTGTTTTTCTTCATTTTTCTACAGACTTTGACGAATGCAAGACGACCAAGGACGTCTGCATTGATGTTGAGAATAGCAATTGTACAAACACTGAAGGATCATTTGAATGCTCGTGCAGAAGAGGCTTTGCCGGACCTCAGTGTCAAGGTACAAGAGTAGCAACACATTATGTATTGTGGTTCTCTACTTCGAAGTACATGTTTGAGCATGATCATTATTGTTTGTGAACCCCACCTAGCTACAAGCTCATTTAAAAAATAGGTCAGTACTGAGGATATAAGCTAAGGTGGCGAGCATATCTCACGGCAAGCAAAAGGAGGAGTTGTGCGCTACATCGAGATTATTATGCTAACAGTTACTAAGTATGTGATATTGTCATGGAGTAGAGCATGCAGACGGTGTTCACGTACAAGTGGTACTTTGCATGAGAGTGCTCGGCCCACTCTGCGTTCGGATGATTGGACAGGAGGGTAATTTTAAGAATCTCCGTATTATTGCTTTCCATTGCAATGCTCAGATCTAGACGAGTGCGAGAAGGACAAGGACATCTGCAACGGCACCGCTAGCAGCTATTGTCAAAACACAATTGGATCTTATCAATGTGTTTGCACAGACGGCTACTCTGGATTTTCATGCGAAGGTACACAATTGCCTTGTCGGAGAGTGGGTGTTTAAAATACAAAGTTGTGCATTTGATGCGATTTCACACCCAAAGAAATTTTGAGATAGAAGTACAATAGTTTCATAGATAAATCTGTGATGACGTCACGAATGTTCACATACCAAGGAGACATAGCAAGAGAGAATTTACAGTGTTTCAAGCCTCTTGTAAGGGGAAAAACCATCTTTATCAATGATAGAAATGCACCTAAATCGAAAACAATTTTGAAATGTAAATAACTCAAAGCAAATGAAAAGAACCCAAAGCAAATGAAAAGAACCCAAACTTAAAGAAAATAACCCAAACAACCGCACACGGAGCACACAAGGAGCAGCAGCATAAAAAAGTAAACTTCCTCAAAAACGGATCAATAAAAACCATAAATTTAGACTTGAGCCTCCGACACAGCTTGTGCAGCAGACGAATTTACCGGTATATGCATTAAACATGGCAAGACATCCACAGTTTAGGTAGCATGATTCATTCCTAAAAGAAACCATGTACCTTTACATGTATATCAAGTACTGACGTAGGACCATGTCTTATATTCCCTACAGACATCAATGAATGTACAGATGAACTTGACGTGTGTAGCGGCGAGATCAATAGTGAGAATCGTGCTTGTACAAACACCGATGGATCCTACAATTGTCCATGTTTGGCAGGGAATTACGACGTCAACTGTTCAGGTAAGTCACCAGTGAGCACTCTTTGCCTATCAAATGAGAGGATGGTCGTGTTTTTGTAGCAAGATTCACACTCCATGCAAATTTTTTTGTGCCAGGTCAAATTACTGCATTTGCATTCATCTGGTTTGCAGTAAAGCTAATTGGACCCAATGTAAAGTATGTGGTCCCAATGTAAAATATGTGGCCACTGACCCGCTGGAGGTGCTATCTGTACTGACTGGACATTATTATGTTTTCATCAACATCTTGTATTGTATTGTATTGTATTTATTTAAAAGGATTCTCCAAAAGCAAATGGATGCTTATCACGGAAGTCTCCCACATAAATATCGCAAGAAAAATGGGGAAATGGGGAGAGGAGAGTGGAAGATGAAGCATGGGAAGAAGGGAAACAAGTACCTAAATATCGAGGTATAAAAGCAGGAAAGAAATCGACGAGGGAAGAAATCACCTCTGCAGATAATAGCGGGACATTTAGATGAAAAAACCCAGCAAGGATTAATTTCAAGGAAAAAAAATTCTCAAACGGAAAAGTTCGGAATTCCAGTCAGAGAATATCTATGCTGAGAGTAATGAGCCTTTAGAGCAATGCGAAAATTGACAGAGGACTGATCTTCTGGGTTGCTGATAAAACATGATAAGCCAAAAGAAAGAATAAAGGAAGAAACAACGGCATTATGTGCGTGAGAAGTAGTTGCATAATGTGCCTCTGTCACATGGCAACTGGAAATTATCATGCATGGAAACAGGCTCGTAATTGCAAAATTTAGGCTTTGCAACCTGATTAAACAGTGGCATACATTTGATGTGTACATATAATGGAGGTGAAAAGCTTTATAGCTGTAACTTCAAGTTTCACGCATTTCAGCGATCGTCAGACTGCAGCATTTGGCAGACCTCGACCAAAAACGAAATTAAGGACGTGATACGCCTGCTGGTGGAGTGATATAACGAAAGATTTCGTATTAAACGAAAAATGTGTTCTTATACAGTAGAACATTGGCATACATTGTATGCAAGCTATGTTTACGCTTAGTGCATTTGTTCGGCTGAGAGCGCGTTGTGGTGACGGGTTTTAGCTCATAAAGATTTCATGTTTCATTCAAAAGTGTGAGCGAGGAAATCTGCTCCTTCTGAAGGCATAAATCGGTGAAGGGTAGGCGAAATCAATAATATAGCCTCCAATGCATGACATGAGAGACGGACGTTCTTTTACCTGACACTAAAAACTAAATAATTGTGAAAAGAAGAAGGACAAAATGTTACGAGTTATGACCAATAATTTAATTGGCTCACCATCCGAGTTAGCTAAAAACTAAAGTAGTAATTGGATTCAGATGGAGAGCCTCCTTATGGTATTTCTATCTTAGAACCTTCCAAGTTGGAAGGCTGTTGGAGTGCGCATCCAAGATGTGCTAGAGCTGTTAGCCAGTTAGTTATAGAACGTCAGTACAGTCGGTCAGTGTCGTGCAATGTTGTCGCATGAGCTGATTGTTTAGTAACTGGTGGTGTTATTGGACAGTATAGCGTATCTTGTAGTTCCTTGGTTTTCTCTTTGTATAAATTTAAGTAGTAATTACCACACTTTTCACAGCACCTTCTATTTCATAAGAAATACAAAAAGATCGAGTCCTGGTGTGACCGTCAATATTTGTTCGAATATTTCTCTTTGCCAACGACCTCAACTGATGAATATTTCAGCTGTTCAAAAACTTAGTTTTTAATGATCCTGTTTTTCATGTATCTACCTGTAGGTATAGGCACTACAACTGTTAGATCAATCACAACAGGGGACGAGAGCACGATTACCATGTCTCACACAACGGTCTATATTCTGGTGGCAGCAACTTCCGTCCTTGCAGTACTTCTGAGTGTCATTACTCTAGTGTACTGTGTGAAGAGGAAGAAAAGAACCCGAGCTCAATGTACAACCGGAGCAGTATGTAGGGGTACAACACGACGGGAAGCACGCCAAGGTCAAGAGGATGCTGCTACGCTGACGCCAAGTGAACTGTACGTGTTATCCGATTGTACTACTCAACTGGTGGTCAATAACACGGCTACAACGGGATTTTCGAACGTTACCAACATGGCGTCTTCCAGCTGTCCCAGCCAAGTTTACATGACAGTCAATCCTGTGTATGAAGAAACTGCACCACCACCGACCAAGCACGGGCGAAGCACCACAACAAATCCAATTGATTGTGAATACGAGGAGGTGATTGCTTTCCCAAAGAATTGATCCCTATCACAGATTGACTATGCACAACATATGTAATACAAACCAGTAGACGTGCAAGAAAGAAAATAATATTTCCTTTTTCGCTCATCTACGAATTAAATTTGCAATAATGAGACCATTGGCAGAATTTTGACCCGAATTTGAAAATTCGACTTTTATCAAATTACTGCTATCGAGCACATACCGCCAGTTTGCATGTCGAGTCTTTAATACATTGCAGAATTTAAAGTTTTGGTATTTTAAGTTTTTGTGCTGTGTGTACCTCGATCGCTGCTACGATAATTTTGCCAAAATCATAATCATACCCAATTTTCGAAGCTTTCACATTGTGCAATAAACGTATTCTCGTACCATTCATTATTCACATCAGTTTGAAAGCATAATTCGAAAAACTCGAATAGCTGCTGCGTTCAATACCATGATTAGAGCATTGTATTTTCGTTTTCTTCTGTATTTTACTTTTATTCTACATCGCAAGTCAAACAGGAAGTCATGCCCAATGTTATGATACCGATATAAAGGTAGAACAGATTGCGGCCTTCTGGCTTCGACCCTTGCGATAGCATTGCGACCTTTTAAGGCTTTACGGAATCACCCCTTGTGTAATAGTATTTACATGAATGAAACGTTTTACGTGAATCGTGGCCGAGGGTATTCATATGAAAGCAATGAGATCTTTTTTCCTTTTTGCAGCAGTGATCACCTTTCTGTACGCCATTAATCTTTCACAGGAAATATCCAATCAAATCTGATCCTGCGACTATCTACTGATAACTTCAAACTCATTCCAATCGCCGAGGATCATTTCCTCTCTTGATGCTTATTTTGCAATCATACAAGTACATACATCATTTTCTTTTCCATGTTGCCTATTTTTTATGCGCATGTTTCATTTCTGTGTTTGCACTTTTACCATTGCAATTTCTAACACATCGCGCCATTTACATGTATACTCCCGAGCACCGTCTAATCAACGTCCACTTTCTTCTGATGATTGTTCCTAGTGCTACGAAACTCAGAGGAACAAAGTGCACCACCATATGACGGTGTGGACATACATTCGTGCTCAATTTCCGCTCAGGCTGTTCAAAAAGTGCTCAATACCACTTGCTAGAGCTCTCTAACATCGATACAGTGTACTGGGAAATAATTCTGAAAATGCTGGCTAATGACTACTCTCCGTGAACCTATGAGTGCGTAAAACTAGAAATTTCAACCCACGACCCTGACCAAATACACACACACACACACCCACACACGCACATACCTGTACACCCACACACCCACAAACTCGCACACATACACGCGTAAACGAAGACGAACATTTCGACATACTCGCCCGCTCACTCCTAGGCAACACACACATACATACGCACACTCACGCACACACACTCGCACACATAATTATACGCACGAACACAAATATACGCACTCACGCACGCACACACGCGAACACACCTCAGACCTCAGATCTGCCCATCGCGGAAGCGATGATAGCGAACAGCTATGTTAGACATAGCAACTTGCGCTGGGATTACACCACTCAACAGCTTGCAAGGCTGATGAATTGACCGCCACTAATTTTAGGCTGGTATCCACCACACAGCTGATTGAAATGGCTTGTTCTGGCCAGTGGATTCCTATTTTCCAATTTTTTAATTTTTTGCATCTCTATTTTTACACACACACGCCCCACCATATACTCCGGCATACACTGGCTTTTGGTAACCACCCAGGAGAAATAAAGAACAGCTAGGAGAATGAGAAAGAGAAGAAAGACGTGTGCGCCCATAATCGTCGGGAATTGAACCCGCAACCTCTCAATTGAAAATCGACTGCACATACCACTGCACTATATGGGACACGAACACACACACCATTGGACCATTGGACGCCCATCGCCGGAGGCGATGATAGCGATGCTACAGCAGAAGCCATAGCAGCTTGTGCTGGGATTGCACCATTCAACAGCTTGCAAGGCTGAAGAATTGGCCGCCACTATTCAGCCTGGTCTACACCACACAGCTATGAAGTGGCCTTTTCTGGCCAGTGAATCCCTACCTTTTGGTCTTTTTCATTTTACACACACACACACACACACACACACACACACACAGAACGAACCAATCTATTTACTGGTATGGTTTGATCTGCTTGCTGACAGTTGATTACACTTGTTCCGAATTGCGGCCCATTTGGGGGGGAAAACGTGCTCGAAGCAAGTACGCATAAGGCCAATAATGTGTTTAGACACCAAGCAGATGGCTGTACATGTTTGGCACAATAGAGCCATCCGAGTCAGGGGTCGTCTCCTTTTCCTTGCTCCTACAGTAGCCATAAAACATAGACAGCACCGTGATCATGTTTGCCATTTCTTGAACATGCTGTATTGTCAACAAGAGATCGTCTTCTGTGCGGAGTTCGCTACACCGGCAGCCATATCCCAATGATGGATATTAACAAGAAGCCGTATCGTAAAAGTAAGTTCATTTCGTTGCTAATATGGCCAGTACACTAATACATGTCATAGCCCGTTGAGGTCTGTAATCGATCATGCACACCAAAAGAAGGCAATAAGAGATGCCCTGTACTACTCGCTCTCCGTCTGCAAGGCCGTTTCGGGCATTTGTAAATGGCGAAGTAGACTGCGAAGACTTATTCACACCGAGTCTTGTTCTCATTACACACACGACGTAGCAAGCCTAATGTTGGACGGGTGTGATTCTTGAAATGGTGGGAGGCTGAGAAGAATTGGTGCATTCCTACTTCTTCTACACACGAGCATGGCCGCAGGTGGCATCGTTTCAGACAAAGAGATGGTCACGTCTCTAGAACATTTCTTCATGTACACAGGAGGCGGAGGGCTGTTGGAAGCTTTTACTTGAAATTGTTCCACGCATTTGAGGAAACCTCAGACAGCTATATTTACTACTGGAGTTTTTGCGAGCAGACTTAGGTAAATATTTCGTGCTGGTTTGTACTTTACTTCATTATGTTCTGAAGTATATGTGTGGAAATAAGGCAGTGCTACTGGTTCAGCGAAGATACTCGTGCAAGTAGTACATTAGGAGCGAAAACCTCAGCTAAATCTCGTGAAGCGCTATTCAGCCAGCAAAAGGAAATCCCAGCACGTGCAGTAGAGCAGGGCTGGAAAGATGGGAGAAAGTATCATGGCACGAAACTCTGTACTGGTGACGCAATATTTACAGAGTGAATTTCTTTAATATCTGAACAGGTATTAATAATGCGTTCTTTCATAACACATTGGAAGTCAATGATTAACAGAAGTGCATGAAATTGCACAATGTTCTCACTCGGCTGGTCGAGATTGATATTGGCTAGGTCAGCAGCTTTCGCACTTGTCTATCCGCTTTTGTGAATAGTCACCAAAAAGAATGTCACCTTTCCCAGTACACTTACTTGCATCTGAATCCAGAATATAGGCCCAACAAACTGTAGGACGTTCATGAGTGGTTCACTTTTAAAATACAATGAGCGTTCCACTGATCAGCATGCGACTCAGCAACACAACTGATCATATCGTGTGAATATCTTCATATTGATTACAGATCCATACAGAACCAGTGTGCTATTCTGCTTACTGTCCTCATTGTGCTGGATATACTCAACATGTGCCCAAGAAACATCATGTGGAGCCGTCAATCGATCCACTCAACTGGTTAAGAACGATAAAAGTGTTCTTCAGAGTTACGTCTCTTACACTACTGCTACTGCTACTAGAAGCACACCACGAACGAGGCTGTCGTCCAGCACACCATACACAGTAGTTTTCGAGTATCCTGGGAATTGCAACTTGGTAGCTCGTAAGATTTCGTTCGCGTCACTAGGTCTGTGTGACTTAAGGGTAACACGTCAACAGCACAATGGAGAGGTGTGGTCAAGTTGGACATCTGTACAATTTTCTCATCACCAGCATAATGATAGAAATGGAGCGAAGTGGTACGATGAACTAAGGATAGTACTACCCATTGTGAGACGTACCCGTATCAGATTTAAAATACGGAACCGAAATGGATGTCACACACCCCTGGTCGGTACTGAGCCATTCATATCTCTGGTTTGCGAGGGTAAGTTCTTTTTACAAATCATTGTCCAATTTTTCTGTGTTGAATTATAAAGAGAAATGAACAGTAAGAGTTCAGATATAGGTATACCAGTATAATCTACAATGTACGTTTGATGATGATCGTATACTAGAGTCTTTATTTGCGCGTCCCACCCTTCAGTGGAAATTACGAAAATAATAATTAACTTCATGAACGGAACATGATGAAAATTAATGTCAACTGTGTGGGGTTATTGCACCGTTCGTAGAGGGCTCGATTTGCAGAAGGCAAAGAGCGTAATACACAAGCAGAAGGACGAACATTTGCGATTTCGCAACTCTGAGTTACACGAACTGACTCGAATCTTCTTCTTAGGACGTCTAATGATCGATTACATTTGTAAAACTCAGAGTTACGACATCGCAACTGTCCGTCCTTCTGTTAATTATCATTAGTATCATCTACCTTTTCACGTTTTAACGCCAAGCAAGCTTGGCTAATCTTCGCTTAGGCCAAATGGAATGAAGAATGAGGAACAAGCTTGATCAATGAGGTGCTAATACGCATGCAACAGCAGAATTTTGTAACATGGAAATTGTATGCACAGGTTTTGCGATCGAGTCCAAATCTGCTTTACTAGTAGGTGATGGACTCGATCGCATAACTTCTGCCCACAATTTCCGTGTTACAATTTTTCCTTGGCTCACTATCTGATTTCAACAGCAGAATAGTAAAACAAGGAAAAAATTATCCTTCTGTTTGTGACATCAGAAGAGAGTATGTCTGAGAAAACTAGACAATGTGCTCAAGTCAATCTCTCCGATTTCGCCCAACTTTTGCAGGTAGTTCAAAATAGGTGTCTTTTGGGATGTACACCGACTGTGCGAAGCCTTTGAACAAGTTTCTCAAGCTTGAAACTGGCATACACCTCAAATATGGTCGGAACATCACATGATATATGGGTCTATAAACAGGCACAGTGTACACATACAAACTAGGAACAAACTTCCATCAAGCTAACATTGCCTCACCTTGGAGGAGATCCTGACGAAGCGCCGCTTACGCCAGCATCCCAGAGGACGAGAGCCATCGCCCCCGACAAATAATCGTTTTGAAAACGCCAATTTACAAGCGATGATAAAAGGGCTACGTATTCAATTAGCAAGAGCTATACATGGGAAGATAGCCCAACTCCTCCTCTAGCACTGAAGACATGTCCCCCCATCATCCTTGTTGGGTTTTAATGAAATGGCTGGTAGCATAGCTTACTTAAAGCTCGTAGCTGTGCTGATAAGGAATCCATGGCCAAAACAGCTTGCTGTCTACAGCATTGGGTTTCCTTGAAACAAACATTTTTGAATTTTTCCACTCCACCATGCAGAAATACGGCCAACCTCATACCTGAGCAGGAAAGCAGGCACCTCGCGACGTCTAGTGAGACATTACTACTCGAACACTACTCCCAACGCTGCAGAACCATAAAAGTGTATTGTTATCTCTGACAGGGAAAAGCAGCGGTGATCGTCTGAAGAGAATCTTAAATCTGAGTTGCGACTAAGTGTTCACTATCCTCTTGATGCTTGCATATACCTATAATATCGGTGCTTGTATAGATGTAAATGAATGTACAGAAACTCCACATCCATGCAATCCGTACAGTGGAGTTGATTCTGGCCGATGTTTCAACAACTATGGTTCCTACTCCTGCGTGTGCCACTCCTCGTTTACACAGGCTGGCGGAACATGCCAAGGTTAGTAATACATGTACTTTGATGGTTCTCGTGGTGGATTTCTGCAGGCAGTGGATCTTGTATTTGGTCACAGAGCCGGTCTCATACATCTTTGAGACTCTGATGCCTGCATAATTTATTATAAGAGACCAGCTGACTTATCGATGTCTACAGAGAAGGCAGTGGGGTTCCGCTTGCAAAATCAAGATTGGACCGATGGTATTGTGCACATCGCGATCATCACATGCTCAGTCAGGCACCAAAGCCAAGCGATTCATGTTCTCAATGGCTGAAGAATCCTTCAAATCTAAACAACCAAAGCTTCTAACATTTTCGGCTGTTTAATATATGACGAGTAGCATCTCACAGCAATTTTCATGGCATAGCTATACACGTCCTCTCAAAGGGAATTACCGCATCGCTCGATTAGCGCCCCTGGGGCACTATATTTGCATTGTCCATCAAAGATGGGGCAGTATTCAAGAGAGTGCATTGTTTCACTGTTCGATGCAGGTCTGGTACACTTCCATTTTCCAGCATAAAAACGAAGATGGCAAAGAAAGGCAGTCTAAATTTTTTGTAAACCTTCTCGACTCAACACAAAAGGCAAAAAGAGCTGCGATTTTGATCTGGAAATCATTATTCGAGACAGGGCATTATTAAAGAGAGGGCTGTAATCGAGCGAAAACGCTATGCGTGAAGAATTCATGTGCTAGATTTGAAGGCAACTGTGGAAAGTATTGCAGTATGTGAGACTTTTTTGTTGCCATTCTTGTTGTTTCATGCACTTGGCATCCAATCCCAGGGTAGAACAGGAGTAGTAGATTGTAATAATGTGCATGTACAGAAGCCTGGTTCAGAACCTTTCTTTGAGGGCAGCCTTCTTTCTTCTGGATTCAGAAACCATAAGAAACCAAACCTTCGAACCTGTGCTGTAGCCCTACTATTTTCTAGGCCTATTATTTACTATCCAATGTATGTTTTTTGAAGCTAGCACTAACGTGGCCGCACTCTTCTCTTGTGCCTTCTTGCTATTATTCACTTAAAGTGGGGCAGATTTCAATAAAAAAAGTCGTGGAACGTGGCCACACATACATGCACAATGATAGACTGAAGTTAATGGTCCCATAGTGACATTCTAATAGATTGTCAGCATCACGAGCTTGTCTCAATTCTAGCGCCATCTTTATGCATGTCCCAGCAGCACTGTGCGTTTCGTTATCACCTTTAGAACTTTTGTCACCTTCAACTTCTTTCGGTATGCCACAAATTACTATGTAGAAAGTGCGCAATTCCGCCATTTTTACCCTATAAATATGCTCATTCATTTATCATCTGCTATTCATTCGTTATCTTCCTCCACTGAGGAGCTCATCATGAGCGAAACCGCTGTCAGGAGGATATGGAGCATCTATTCAAGAACCACCATCCTCGCTATGAAGTACGGTTCTGTGAATGTGGGCCAAGAGCGCAGTGTTGAGAAGTGGACAGTTCAAATTAATTTCAAATGGCCGAGGTTGTCGCTACTTCTAAGTTTTTTCTTACATTTCCCGACTTTAATATAATTGCATTTTCTCGCAATTAGATATCAATGAATGCGGGAATGACGAAGAGATCTGCAAAAGAGAAGTCAACAGTTATTGTCACAATTCCATCGGTTCATTTCGATGTGTTTGCAAATCTGGTTTTACCGGACGGCCATGCCAAGGTATGGAAGTAGCTATGCAACATGTGCTTAAGACCAAATGTGATTCAACGTGATTCACATGAATATAATCATATTATTATGTGGAATTCGGATAGTGAGCCAATTAAAATATGGTGAAAAAAGGAGAAGAACTGACTGACTGTATAAGATCTGGTTACGTTGGTGGGCAGTTGGTCATAACTCGTAACATTTTGTCCTTCTCCTTTTTTCACTATATTATTATGTTGCTCCGATATGGGTAGCGATGGACGTTGTGCAGCGATACAGTCCGCGCAACGCAAACATTGAATACTATGTTGGTACTTGAAGTATAATTTTACAAAACATCACAGGATATTGTGGGATGGACCACCATTATGCACTGCATCTTACTCTTAGATATTCCATGTGTTTACTGTGAGCAATTGGCGTAAGTTCTGAACGAGCTAGAAGACAAAATTTACTCTTTCGCATATCCTGCTTTCTAACACGGAGGCTTGGGATACGCTGCGATATGGAGGTGTTCAGACTTTACCAGTACCTACTGCAACGTGGACTCGTGCTGCTTGCGTGGCGGCCGAGTGGCGGCCGAGTTTGGCTGAAGCAAGCATGCGTTTGTTACATTGAGACCAGCGATACTGTACACTAATACCGATATATGGAGAAAGTCAACAATAGTATAGACGTACTATTTACCGACAAGGTCCACACTGACTCGCTCTTCGCCCCAACGCCCATACCATCACATTCAAAACATCATAATAATAATATGTGGTTCTTGGTTGGGAGTTGTGATAATAGTATGTGGTCAACCAGGGGACAATAGTATCTTGTGTCCTGTGTCCATGTAGTACAACTTGGAGATACGAAAGGTAAGGAAATAAGGCTGGAATCAGTTATTGTCGGTGATGTCTCTGAAATGCACAGAACGGACGCCCGAACATTGTGTTTTCCGTGTTTGCTGGACATTGACGAATGTGTGCATGGAGATCAGTTTTGCAGTAGATTACAGAATAGTGAGAACCGTATCTGCCGAAATACAAACGGGTCCTACCAATGCCCATGTGTGGAAGGCAAGTATAATGAACATTGTTCAGGTAAGACAGCAAAAGGTGGACAATATAGGAAGGATAAAAGGGTTCAATTTTGCATTTTCAAAATGAATGCCTTAGGCCGGTCACACTGAGGGAACAGTCCTCAGATTATACACCGTCAACAATTTGTTGTATTTTTCAAAACGGTCACACTGGATTTACCCGATGACAAAATCTCACCCACACGAACTATAATTTGTTGTAACCAATCAGAAACACCTCGATCATAAACCTGCCACAGAAAAGGAGAAGGAAACCTAATGTTTTAGCCCTATGATCCATCAGCATTGCTTACAGTCATTTCCCTTTTTATACTTCACATTCTCATGATTAGATATCAATGAATGTGAGGACGTCGAAGAGATTTGCATGCACGCTGTCAACAGTCATTGTATCAACTCCATTGGTTCATTTCAATGTGTTTGCAAATCTGGCTTTACCGGATGGTCATGCCAAGGTATGGAAGTAGCTATGCAACATGTGCTTGAGGACAAACCTCACCGTGATGCACATGGATAGATGTTTCGAAAATATGTGTAGTGATGAACGTTGTGCAATGATACAGTCCGACAACGCAAAAAATGAAATAAATAATAATAAATCAATAATCTATTGTTGACACCACATCACAGAAATTGTGGGAGTGTGAGCAGCCTATCGGACTAACATTGCTCTGAGATGCACAGAACTGACGCCCCGAACCATCTGATTTCTGCGTTTGTTAGATATCAACGAATGTATGTATGAAGATCAAGTGTGCAGTGGACTACGGAATAGTGAGAACCGCATCTGCCATAATACAAACGGGTCCTACCAATGCCCATGTGTGGAAGGAAAGTATGATGGAAACTGTTCAGGTAAGACAGCAGCAGATTGACCTAGATGGAGGAAAGGGTTCTAAGATTGTCTGGACGGTATTTTATGGTACGATATTTCCTCAAATTTCAAGTGTACTCCAAGCCTCCTCATACGCATTTTCAAAATGAGTCCATTGGGTAATCGACGTGAAAAGATGTGAGAACTGTCGATCAAAATGTTTTCAAGCTGTCTAACGTATTCAAAAGAGCACTTAAATGATAAAGCTTATGTCCTCGTTTTCTACAGATATTGACGAATGCAAGACAGACAAGGACGTCTGCACTGATGTTAAGAATAGCTATTGTGCAAACACTAAAGGATCATTTGAATGCACGTGCAAAAGAGGCTTTACTGGACCTCCGTGTCAAGGTACAAGAGGAACAACACACTGTACATTGTAGTTCTCTATAGGTTTTAGCATAATCAAATATTTTTTTCAACAAAGAGCACCCCTCCTAGCTGCAGCCTTTTTTAATTTAACAGTACTCAAGCGATGAGCTAAGGTGGAGAGCCTGCCTCATGGCAAGCGAAAGGAGGAGCTATATGCTACTTCGGGATAATTATGCTTGTAGTATAATCTTGTCAAGGAATGAATGGAATGAAGTATGCATAAAGTGTACAAGTTACACGTTGCATTCGAGTGCTCGACCTACTGTGATTTCGGATGGTAGGACAAGAGGACAATTTTAGTGTCTCCGTATTTTTGACATTCTTGTTTTATATCTGTTATTTCAATGCTCAGATGTGGATGAGTGCGAACAAGACAAGGATATCTGTAATGGGAATGCTCGCAGTTACTGTCAAAACACAATTGGATCTTACCAATGTGTATGCACAGATGGCTACTCTGGATTGTCATGCGAAGGTACACAATTACCTTTTCTGATAATTGATGCTTTTGTTGAATACGAAAAGGACGACTGACGACATATTATTATCCAGACATTACAACGGGAACAGGTAGGTTGGTGGAACGACATTTATTATAGACGACGAGACAAGAGACCAAGACGAACGAAACGACTACATTGAAGAGTGAGAAAAGAGAGGAAGAGATCAAGTCTGAACGGCAAGATAAAGGGCCTGGGTAGCTATGGCAATTATGGGCGCGCAAGTAGATACCCAGGCCAGCGGAACAAAAGGAGATAAAAGGTGAGTACACGAGTGCATGCAGGCCAGCTAGAAAAGGTACGGTAGGAGGTACCTAACACTTTTGTAAATACAGTTTTGTGCCTTTGATGCGATACGACCTTCAGCAATAATTTTGAGATAGAAGTTTAGTAGTTTTACAGATTAGTGTTATGTAATAACGACATGAATTACCTTTCTTTTAGGATCACGGACCAAAGACACATGCCAAGGAAGAAATTTTATGTATCAAACCTAGCAACACATTCACATTGTTGTTAGTGTAGTATCCCTGCCCGACCAATACGGAAGCAGTACGGAACTAATACGGAGCTTTGCCTGATGTGTATTTAGTGTATCTCCGTATGTAAGCGTACAGCGTCTGCTGCATATAAGCGGCTGCGCATTTCTGTTTTGAAGAAGATGAGATTTTGATAATAACGAGCTATTCAACCTCCAGGTGTGCACCGGAGAGAAAGTCAGTTATTTTGCCGCTTCTTCTTTCACTAATAATTATATCTCAGGTGTGTACCTGAAAGAAGTAGAATAAAAGTAATTATTGTTGATTTCACCGCGCCTACCACTCGGCTACCCATTACATTGGTGGCAGCTGTGGGATTCGAACCCACGCCTCCGGAGAGACTGGAGCCTCAATCCAGTGTAAATGTAATGGGTAGCCGAGTGGTAGGCGCGGTGAAATCAACAATAATTACTTTTATTCTACTTCTTTCAGGTACACACCTGAGATATAATTATTAGTGAAAGAAGAAACGGCAAAACGGCATTATACACTCCTCAAAGAAACCGTGTGCAGCAAGTACTTCAGAAAGCAGGACCATGTCTTTAATCCTTTACAGACATCAATGAATGTACAGATGAAGCTGACGTATGTAGCGGCGAGATCAACAATGAGAATCGAGCTTGTTCAAACACGATCGGGTCCTACCATTGTCCATGTTTGGCAGGGAATTACGACGTCAACTGTTCAGGTTAGACACCAGTGGATATACATAAGCTGTGCCAACTGAAAATGACTATGTCTTTGTAGTAGGACATATTGCGGCATGCAATATGTGTGTGTTAGGAGGCCCAATTGCTTCATTTACGTTTGTTTGATTTCCAGTAGAGCTGATTGGGTCTTAGGTAAGTTATGTGGGGACTGACACCCTGGAGGTGCTCTGTTCACTGACCACTGATTGTATATGAGGATGTTTCCGAGATAGCAAAACAAAGGTTGCAACTTCTATTTCATCGGCGGCATGACCAGCGGCAAAGGATGAGATGGACACCTAAGTACGCCGTACGTATACGATGCTGGCATGACTTCAATTTGCACCATTCCCAACAGTGACATAGCTATGTAGAGATATGAGGTTCGGTTATGTTTTCCTCTCTGAAAGACAGCTATTACTTTTAATTTTCCACCGTATTCTTCGAAGATGCCAGATATGGGGATTATCAATGGTCCACGTACTCCTGATTTCACATTTTAAATCTGGCGACGTAATAATAGGTGACGAAAGATTCCATCTACTTTAAAAAGGTGTCTGCTCGGAAATCGCCTCCTTGCTTCAGTTTGGGATAGTTTGTTTAAAACACCTTTTCGTTTCTGTCTTTGAGGGAAGGGCCTAGAAGAGGGGTCTTGGTGAGCATTATTGTAAACCTGGTTGATCTGTCGCTGTTAATGTTTTTAAGCCCCTTATACGGGCATTCACAGAACATGACTTCACTGGCCTGACCGCGGCAACAACTGCAAAGCAGTCGCTTTTTTTAATTTACGTTTATAATTTAGACTTCGAACTTTGTCCCCACAGGCATTGAGACCACTCTCCTTACACACCAGGCTATACAGCTGTGAGCAGGTGACATATGGCATCATGCATAATTCCATTCTCTAGCCACTCATGTTAGTCTGTACTAGAAGTAAAAAACAGGGTAGGATGATTTTCGCACTTGATAACTATTCAGAATATGCCGACACGGGATATCGCTCAGACAATGTTGCGAGTGCGCGTTTGGGTGTGTGTGTGTGTGTGTCCCATATGGCGCAGTGGTATGTGCAGCGATTTCCAATCGATAGGTTGCGGGTTCGATTCCCGACGATTATGGTCACACACGTCTTTCTTCTCTTTCTTAGAATCTTCCTGACTTTTCTTTCATTCTCCTGGGTGGTTACCAACAGCCAGTGCATGCCGGAGTATGTGGTGTGATATTTGTGCGGGAAAAAGAAAGAAAAAAAAGACCAAAAAAGACCAAAATAGGGATTCACTGGCCAGAAAAAGTCACTTCAAATAGCTGTATGGTGTAGACCAGGCTGAATAGTGACGGTCAATTCTTCAGCCTTGCAAGCTGTTGAATGGTGCAATCCCAGCACAAGTTGCTATGGCTTCTGCCGTAGCATTGCTATCATCGCCTCCGGCGACGGGCGTCAAAGGTCAAAGTGTGTGTGTGTGTGTGTTGCGAGTGTGCGTTTGTGTGTGGGTGTGTGCGTTATGTATGCATTTTTCGGTCTTTATGACTGTGTATTTTGTATGGGTTCATGTATGGGGTATGCGTGTGAATATGTGTTTTGTTACAGCTCTGGTTGGTGTTACTAGCTCTACTGATGTCCGTACAACGGCCACAGTTGCGGTTTCTATATCTACAGGTCTGGTTGTCTTGATTCTGGCCACTCTGGTCACCTACATCGTCATCAGGAAACGACAGAAAGCTGCAGCTGCTAGAGGAAACCAAACACAGAATGATCTGCCTGTGGACACTGTCAGCGCCTCCGATCAAAAGCCGGAGCTACACCAGAATGCGCCTGCCGTAGTTTACTACCAGACTGTGGGCGCAAATGGACCAGAGGAGAATGAATATAGCGTTGCAAGCGCTGGTGCCACATCTCACACACGTCTTGACAACGCCGCCGAGCAGCGCGACTCGATCTATGCCCTTGCAACTGATGGATCGGTAAACGCACCTGAGTATTCTAACCCTATTGAATCTAGTCAGGGAAGAGCCATCAACAAGGCCACGATATCCTCCAGGAACGCAGCACCTCCAAGCAACCAAGACTGTGGGGAAGACGACTTGGGTTTTTACGCCTTGGCAACTGAGTCAAGTGAATCCAGAGGTGGAACATCGGAGCCACGCGTGTCAGAGATCTCACATGGAACTCAGATCACCTCAACCACTCGCGCAACCCCAGAGAAACCGACCCCGTATGCCAATTTGATCTCCAATTGGAGAACAGATCTCTCCAATTTACCTGAACTCGCCGCTGCTGCTCCTGATGTGCCCATCTATGAATACACCAAACTATCTCATGACTCGACGACTCCTCAGACGCAGAATCTCCGTTATGACGAGTTGCATGTTCAAGACACGCAATATGCTGCCGTCGCACCAACACGGGCAACACGCCAGACCTAAGTTTACACATCTCTTGTGCGTCTACAAATCCATCGCGTGACGCTACCACAGTACGAAACGTAGCCATACGTCTGAATCCACGATGATCAATGGGCGAAAATCTTTACTTGCACCCTCGTTTCACCTTTGTTTACATTCATAGTTATCTCCTTGACGGACAATCCACGAATAAGATCATTTCTTCATGCATTTGGAAGACATCCTACTCACTCATTGCCTCACTGCTCTTGTGCATGTCTATGTCATTTACGCCACAAAGGTGATGACTGTATTATCCGTATGGCGCCTCATGCATCAGGTGACGTTACGCCGAATGAGCTCAACGTTCATTTCCACTCGCAGTATGATTTAGCTTTATCCAATGCACAACATTTTCTCCCCTGTGTGACTTCATGTATTTTGCACCCCTTGGGATATGGCACGTCCTTCGTTACAACTCAACCCGTTCAGAACTTTGTTTTGCCTGTGCGCCAATTTCATCGTTTTCTCATTAGTATTCCAAACATTGTATGACTCATTGCCCTGTCAATGCTACTGCCCTACCTCCTGTTCGATATTTCCACGTACATTGTAATGTCATCGCATAGGTTCTATTACTTGTCGCACTGCTAACCGATGCATTGAAACACATTTCCATTTTGGTGTTGTACTCATCTCCACATGAAACTAAAATGCTCCGAAAGGCGAAAGGCGTGGGGATGATCCCTCGCTTAATGCAATCCCCGTAACGTTTGAACAAGAAACTGAGGATATTCAAAATAAGGTCGGGGGAAGTAAAGGTATTTAATATAGGTGCATACATCACATTCATAACGTTAGCGTGTTTGAGCAAATACATAAGGGAAATGGTTTCAGAGTATGGTGTGATTCCTAGCCATTGTCGCAGCGTGATTGTACATGTATATTGCGCTAAATTTCGGAAGCATGAGTAGAAGGAACATTTGGTTGTGAATGTGAGAGATTCAGAACATTTCTATCGAGGTAAGGAGTGGATCTAGTGCGGTATTCATGCACCTTGTGTGGCTTAGATGGTTCTTTGACTGATGCCTGCAATGGCAGGGTTGGCTACGTAGCATGGTGTTGTCTTTTTAGGTACTTGTTCTCGTATCAGCAGTAGCAGTTTCAGTTATCAATGCCAATCCTGACCACAATGCATGTACATGTATCTGCAGTTTTAGATACTACAGTTAACAGCAGTGATCAACTTCAAGCGAGCACATAGGGAAACCGCATTGTTTAACTTCACACCCGGTGGGACATGCTTCCACCATCTGTCATACATACGTATAGCTGTACCACTAATCAACATGGAAGTTAGAAGTACCATTAAGGTCACAACAGGAAGCCACATACAATGCTAGGATGTCGATCACAGTCGAGACAATCGGCATTGTATCAAAGAATCCGTGCTGCGCAACTCGGAGTGTTTGGGGCACCTGTAATTATTATGACCTCAATATGATTGTGTGCTCCTCTCCCAGCACAGTGGTCAATCCCATCACGCGACATTTGCTTCAACTCACTATTTCAAAAGTTGCACTTGGGGGCGCCAGGTGTAAACACAGTTCTTATCCACCACATAATTATAATTGTTTCATTATTCAATTCCATGCATAGATAAAGTACGTTCAATCCCAAAGGGCCATTGTTGGCCATGTCACTGTAAGGAATGCGTCGCAGTGTTCAGCGTGCCCTATTTGAATTATGTTCATGGTACAGAACGCTCAGATCTTCTGCTTGTTATAATGGACACTCCGTTTGTTTCTCTGTTTGTTCCGGGCGAGCGAAGTGAAGTGAACCCAAGCAAACAGACAAGCCGAATGTGATGTTTTAAAAGGAAACAGAGTGTCGATCATCATCAGCAGAAGATCTGAACCTTACCCTTTCTTCGTTTTTACAGGCTGATGACCAGGAAACTGAATTTCATTCTATGGCCAGGATTTTACAAAGATTTTTTTTGCGCTGTTGTTTGAGGAGCAGCTGCATCTGCGCCTTGGTCCTTGAAGGTGGCGGCGTTCGTACGGATACGGTTAAAACTCGGCCTCCAGCGGAGTCTCACGCGAACCGTGAATTTTCGTGTCCAGGAAACAAGTAATGTGCAAATGGGATCATCGATTGCTGGAAGAGTGCTTTATACGTTCAGTCTCAGGGTTATCACGCGTCTATAATTCTCATAGTGACTGCATAGAAAGGAAAGGGAAACTTATCAGCGATGTAAACTCGCCAGCCAGTCCGTTATTCTTTAGTTGAGGCCAATGAAAAGGGAACCAGGTAGATCTACCAACGTTTTCCAAACATAGACAGGCTCATTCTCGGGCCGGGAGCTCTATTACTTGCAAAAGCTGATGTTAGTTAGAGAAGAAAGCTGTCAATGCCTTTTTTGTGTCGAATACTTGAAGCAGGTTTCTATAACACTAATGGTATGGGTTGTCTCGACCACATTTGTTCGCTCGATTCCGGTAACACACGAGATGTTCTGTCATTGGGTCTGATGAATGTTGCTGCTTAGACTAGTAATAATGTCATGTAACTAGGCTAGCTAGGCTTGTTCGGAATACTAGCGCCAGAGAGTACAAGTATTAGTAGTGTCTATCGTCCCTTTAAAAAAAGGAAATTGAGGTTATATATGTGAGAGATTGTCTGTGCAAATGAAAACAGAGATTGGTAGACGAGATAAGATAATGTCTGACACGTTCTGACGTGTTCTGTTGATTAGATCAGTCCTTATGAAGCATTTTAACTTCACGGTTATAATCATCTATCCTACTGTAATCCGGTGGGAGTGCTCGAAGTACAAGATACAGTTGGTCATTGGAATCTGCGGTGACAAAGAGGTCTTCACTAGTGATGCGCATTGAAGAACATTTCTGAAATTATCTGGGAGACAAATAAGTGTAGATCTTAGCGAAGGCAGTGTTCTATCGATCAACAGTATCCAATTCTAGCATAAACTAGCTTCTGGCTCGTAGCCTCGCCTTCGTGGATACATTGCCCTAGCAACCATGACGTGGTTACCCGGTCTACATTGTAAGTTGTGAGTGTATATGAAGGGGAAAGGTCGCCTGGATTCATTTAAAATGTGCTTGGTAAAAGCGTGTAATGCCTCTAAGAATATTCCACTTCGAATATTTACGGTTCGGCCTTATTTAACTGCTCTGTGGTGCCCTGATGAGTCCACAAAGGACCAAACAGTTCTGTCCCTAGACTGAGCATATTTACGTCTACATCATTGTACTACTTCCTCCGTATACAAAAACTTCGTGACTTTTTTTGAACGGTGTTTTGAGCAAGAACCTGCTCAACGAACGGTGCCAAAGGCTGTCATCGACAACTCACGTCCATGTCGAGGTTAGTTTGGTTGATCCCGAACAGATTCTCCACTGACGCGTGTGAGGACGTTGCCGACAGAAACTCAAGAGTCAAATGCAATAAAAACTAACACTTAATTGCTCGAAACTGACACAGTGACAAAGTGTAGCTCGTGCCTGGAACACGGAGTCGAGTCACTCGGCACTCGCTGCCCTGCAAGTGGCCAGGCTCGTACTTGCGGTGCGCGGCCCCATAGATCTACACAGCGTGAGAACATAGATTTGTTTCGCTCGCACGGCAAGATGAAACATTTCAGTCGTCGTGCAACCAGCGCAGACTCAGGATCAGAATGTCGATGGCCTAGCTTTCTTCGCCTCTCTCCAGTCAGACGTCTCTTTTGTCGCCAAGGGGAATGGTAGGGACCTCCTCGAAGCCATTGTAGATTATCCTGGCGAGAAAATGCGAAGCGTGTGGATGTGCTTGTACGACTCTTTTCACGGCATAATGGAGGTCGCGGGTTGGAACGACTGAATATAGCCGACACCGATTCGTACACAGCTCTAGAGATGAAGAGGACGTAGCCAAAGTCCAGCATCGGATCATCACTAAAGGTGACAAGAATCTGAACGAAATGCGAGCGGAAGCAGCGACGTTTGGCGATGCGGAGTCGGCGTCGTCAGGTGACAATGACATGAGCGACGAAGACTCTGAAAAAACTCAATCTCATTCGTCTGAGTTGTTTTTTTCTTTGTATATAGCTTGTAAACAGGTTAGACAATGCCACGAGTGTTATTCCGAGTCAAACGGAACAATTCCAGAGCTGTGCGCAGCTTTCAAAAAAGTCACGAAGTTTTTGTATACGGAGGAAGTACATCTTTGGTAGGTTAAATTTCCTTTCCAGAAATGAAGCAATGGCTTTTTTTGGTACTGTCGTTATTGCTGTCTCATATCCCAGGTACTCGTCTAGCAAGACAGAAGGTTATTTTGATTGTCCTAATAGTCACAATGTGGTCGGTAATAACGTTGGCTTCAGGCGAAGTGCAGCCTAAATGTGTGCCAGGAAATGAAAACCTCGTAACTGTGATTGAAAGCCATTTTGGAGGTCTTGAAGTTTTCAAATGGACAACCTGGTCTCCTATTGTTGCTCTCAACAGCCAACCAATGTGGCAACAGTTACCGCCCGATGGAGTTACTGCAGCCTTCGAATTCCCAGGCAACTGTCTTATCAATGTCACAGGAATAGAATATACTACAGAGGGTGCATGTCAGTTAATCGTAGTCTCAGAAGAATTCCACGACAATGGGCAGAATGGATGGTCCATTATGAATGTGCAATCTCATTTCATTTCAGTGGGCCCACGTATGCCAGGCTATATACAACTAGCATTGGCATCATCCGCTAAGCTTCGCATCATATTCACCGTCCATAATGAGACTGGAATGTCTCAAACATGTAGCACCCGTTTGACTGCAGACAAAAACCCGTACATTGGATTATTCTTTCAAGAAGGTAAGGCATTTACTTGACACGGGTTTTTTCAAGTGTGATGTCTACGATGTGAAGAGAATCAGATAGGGTCGTGCACCAACACAAAAATTCAAATGATGTACGGATGATGTGATAATGCATGTCCATGTGTATCTATTCCCGTGTGCTGTGTTAGATATCAATGAATGTCTTCACACAAAGGATCCTTGCGGTGATCATCCTAAAAATGGCAATAAACCCACATGCATCAACACGTGGGGGTCATACAAATGTGACTGTGAAGAAGGATATGAACCTGTACTGGTTGTAGGACATGAACATGAGTTTACATGCAACGATATCAATGAGTGTGAACTATATAGAAATCCCTGCCATTGGAACGATAACAGTAAATACGTAGCAGAGTGCGAAAACAGCTTGGGATCTTATCAATGCGTTTGTCAAAATGGATTTATGTATGCACTTGAAGTACGCGTACAGGAGAGGAAGAATTTTGGATGCATTGATAACGACGAATGTGCCCTAGTACCTCATCTTTGTAGTCAGCATCAAGGAACTGGAAAATGTGTGAATACTCCTGGTTCCTACTATTGTAACTGCTCCAGTGGATTTTCGGCTACTCCCGCGCAAAATGGCACGTTATGCAAAGGTAAGAAAAACACAAGCGAAGTAGTCCACACAACGATGAGTGTTAAGCACTCTAGGTGTGGGTGCTGATACAAAAGGGACAGAGAACATGTTTAGGTACTCCGAGTTGAAACTCCACCAAAAGCGATCATCAATGTGGTGACCTGGTGATCTGGTAAATGTCTGCCGTTTAGTTGCATGTCTCCTCCCTATCGTATTCTCCAGAAATTCACCCACTGTAGAAAGGTAACTGGTGGCCAAAGTTGAACATACAGTTACCAGGTCTCCGAAGATTTCTCTGAACGCGTTAATTTCTTCGTCTTGACAGCGTATCACGAGATTTTATCTACATGTATGTACCTATAATTGGGGAAAGAGAATCCTTTTCTTTAGGTCCTATTGCCTCCCTTTGCTATAGATCATGAACATAATAGGTGACTGTGCGTGTCCAAGGTTCCATACCAACCCTCCGCCATTGGCCTCTGAAAACGAAAGTATACCACTGGTACTTTAAAAGCCAACTGCACTTTGGCCCCAACATGAATTGATAATTATAATATTTTCTAAAGTACATAGGGACTGCGGGGATTCTCCATTGAGAGATTTGAGACTTGATATAGTCAGGTCTTTATTTTCTAGGGCATTCCACACTTCTAAGTAGCAAGTTTCTAGTTAAGCCAGGTTGGTGTTCCCTTCATAACATCATTCCGATTTCGTGAATAGCTCTCAGTTTTCCTCGCCGTTAGGAACCTCTGAAATTGGTACTCTGGTCCGATTTCTATTCACCCTTGTTGTTCGCAAAGCGGATCCTTTCGGTCCGTAACTCTGAGCTCCGCTGATGAGAGAGAAAGACACTATAAAGAGGTTTGTTGGGAAGAACTAGCTGTGTGAGGCGTCTGACAATATTGATCTCGACGGTGTTGTCTTTTTGCTTTGTTGTTAAATTTGCCTTTAGCGAGCTGCAAAGTAAATAAGTAATTGATCGTGTCCGTTCCCGAAGGAACCCACGACGGACGCTAACACCAGGTATACCTTAGCGGGAGATGCAGCTCCTAACGGGAGCTGTACCCCTCAAATACTCTTTGCTAGCTTTGAGCGTCGCTAGTTGGACGATATGTTTTGGGAGTCGAAAATTTGAATGATAATCTCAGTAGCCTAGAGCTATGATTGACGTGCACCTCGCGTTCATCACTGCTTTTGTATCTGAATTTCTCCATGTTTTCCAGCGGCGTCACAACTTCCAATCCAATTGAGCACAAAATATCCGTTGAACACCACCATAGCCACAGCAACATCTGCAACATCTCACGTAATGACGCAAATGACGATTTCGTCATCAGGAAAAGTGCAGAACGGCAAGGCGGTTCTTGTGGCTCTGTCAACTATTTGTGTAACCCTGATAGGTTTGTTGGTGGCGCTGCTCCTCCGGAAGAGAGAGAAAATATTGAAACTACTTAGACGCAGCTTAACCGCTCGACGGGCCACGACAGCTGGGGATGGACCTGTTGATACGTTTCAGGCAGACCGTGCAGAGGTGGAGATGCCGTCCCCGCAGCGCAATCACACGCACCGCACATCCACAGGGAGAGGAGACCAACAAGCTAGAGCTGCCATTGAGATTGACCGAAGTGATTACCATGAGTATGACCTTGCCATGAGCTCAAGCACTGGATCTGTTCCCCCTACAGAGATGCCCTCACAGGCCCCGAATCGAATTGAAAATGACTACATACTCGAAGGATTGCCAAACGAATACGCTAGTGTTCCTGACCAAATGGAGCAGAATGTAGAGTATGCCTATGCCATTGCCACTGCTCCAGACAGGAAATGTGATGATCACACGGGTAGATGTGCGGGCGCTGTATCAATCGGCATAGTGGAGAGTACAGATGGTTATGGCTACGCTTTAGCCACGGCTCGCACTTCCATGCACAAGATCAGGACCACACCATGCAGCTCGGGATCCATATCTGATCAGATGCAAGTGGCTAACACCCCAGCTGCAGATCGAAGACCAATGGCGACTAGAAAAGATTCCAAACCTAACTACTTACCTGGAGCGGATAGACCTCCTGTCAATAATGCTCTCCTTGGCATACCACCTCCACTGTCCGATGAGTCCTATCGCGTGACAGGTTCGGAGCAGAGCGGAAGCAGGTTTTCTAAGGCGAGAGAAAAGGCACCAGGGACTCCATCAGACTATCTTTCTCCCTCCGACTGTCTGTTACCCTAGCTATTCAACGAAGTATAACCAAGTGAGAATTCAAGTCGGCAGGAAAACCGCGAGCTCCCCTGTAGGGAGCAACACACTCTTCCCCAACTATCGCCGATATCGTACCAACATCTTCTTCACATTATAACCAACGTTTAGCACATCTTCCAGCCTTTCAATACTATTTTCTCGCGACCAATTACTTTCCTTTCACTTTAATTTAGCACTCAGCGACCGAACTCGCATTACAGGAAACACATAAGGCAACAAGGGAAGCAGAAACGAACAGGATTCATGAGTGTGCATGCGTTCTTGTATGTGTGAACCAGTATGTGTGAGTGAGCTGTGTGCCTAGAGCCATGAGCACTGTTTCTACAACTGCTCCATCACTTCAAAGTTAATAATATTATGCATAGCTCTATGAACGGATAGTAGGTTTCCTGTGAAGGTCGGTAAGACGTACGGTGCATTTTGACCCTTCCAGACACTTAAAACTACCAAGTAGTGCTTTCCAAGACTTTGAAGACTTCATATTTTCCACCTGATTTCTTGTCTTTATCTTTGATCTCAGCTACTGCATACAACCCGCTCGAATCGAGCGTAAATACATGTATGTCACCATTCAAGTGTTAGCTTTGTGTAAAATACGTTTGTAAATGCTCAGAATCACAATTCACGCCATTCTTAATTCGCTTTAATTCGCATCATCAGCTTCTGACTTCATTAAGGATATGCATGTAAGGCCTCAAAGAGCTATGGTAGAGCAATAGAGCTGCTGTGCAATGGTTGATTGATGTGAATACAGAAGACAGGATTAGACATTCAACTTGCTGAAACGTGTTTGCAAACGTGGCCAAGTCAGCTTCTAATCCTCTAGTGGAATCCTTGCCTAGTGGTATGAGAATCTAAGCATAGCTGTATCACCAAAACGGCAAGAACGCACACGGGTGGCAGGAAAGTGTACCTAGTATTTGAGGTACTACAGTGCTGGCAACTGAAATCCGACCCCCTGAGCAGTGCGCTCACATCCCAAAGAGTGTGAACCCACCGCTCAGGGGGTCGGATTTCAGTTGCCAGCACTATGCCTACCCAAAAAAGATTCTGCTTGGATCATGCAACCAGTGCAGCGGACAATATCCGTTCTAAGCAAGAATCTACCATAGTGGTGTACGTACTAAGGGAGCTCCACGGTAGTGTTAGAGAAGCTAACCGAGTACCTGTACATGGTATTGTGCGCAGATGGTACACCACACGATTCAAATCAGGACCAAGCGGATGCAGTATCACTGACGCCAAAGGAACTGTACAGCCATCAGTAACTATTTAGACAGCAATCGTACATGCTGCTTTATTCGTACATAACGAAACGGTAACACAGAACCATTAATCTAGTAAGAACACGTGTAAAATCCACCGTCGATGAGCTGTTTAGCAACAATCCGAGAGCAATCAGCTCTGGTATTATTTGTAACAAATATAGGTTTAACTGACGGACACTAGCTATCAGCCTTGACTTGTTTAGGATCTGTACCATTCTCATTCTTTGAAACGCTTGCTTTGCTTCGCTCAATCCTTTCCGTACATGAGACCGTCATTTGCAAAATCTCCACTGAATGCACTGCCATTTTTTTAACGAAGTTCGTAACACGCCAACGTAACTTATACACGCAAAATGTGGACACACAACCATCAGTGCATAAGTTCACTCTCTCACACGCTAACAGTTTTTTGGGCTAGGTATCAGGCTTGTTTATAGATTGGTCCTACTTAAACGTCTAGCAGTGACTGGGACTCCCCATGCACTGCCATTCTTTAGATACCATACTACATACTACTAATCACTCTGCGGTTGCGTTTGGTTGGGCATTTTCAGAATGTAAATGACAACTATTCTGGAATGGGAATGGGCAAGAATCACCTGACCAAACAAACACGCCAGAATCAACTAGGAATCACTTGACATAACAACTCCATGATGTCGTTGTGGAACGGCGGCTCTATTCTCTTTTACCCGACTCTACTTTCCTTGAGAGAGTCAAGGTACTTCTGAGTGCACGATGTGAGGCACTTGAACCTGATGCTACATTGTTTGGCTCGTGGCAACCATTATAATTTTTGATTCCGGAATGAGAATGCTCATTCCAGCATGTTAGGTGGAATGGTCACTCTCCAAAAAGAATCATTCTCAGCGATTCCCATTCTGGAATGTGACCAACCTAACGTACCTTTTGACCAACCAAACGGGCGAGAATGATTCCGAGTGATTCCAAGTGATTCCCATTTGGGGATGTGACCAACCAAACGTAACCTGAGAAGTCTATTCATGTGAACCACACGAACATGCACAATCTGGTGTCTGACCTCAATATATTGCCATCTGTTTTCCACCATTCATTAGAGACCATGGGCCGCTGTTGTGCCAAACAACTATACAGATGGGTAGTGCAAATGTTTGGGAAACCAAAAGGCACATTAGCCGAGGTTGTCATTGATAGCGGCTTCCAACGACACGTCGAACATATCCATCTCATTTCTCCTATGAGATAAAGCCATGACGCCAAAGCCGTCGTGTGTAGAACTATTGTACTTTGTCGTTACTTGCAAATCATTTGCAGAAGTGTATCATTTTCAACATCCCTGCACGTTCATCTATAAGTCCGAGCTGGAATACTGGTGCATATCACGATAAATCTACGTATACAAGGAGATGAGGGTGTCGACAGAAGAGATCGAGGCAGGAATCACCGTTATGCGAATGTTCAAGTGTGGTGCAGTGTTTGACTGTTGCCGCCTCGACATGATAGCACGTCTGAAAGAATAAATTAATGAATAGCACTGTAATGTGGTTACAGCCTGAGCAACGGTAGAGTCTCTATGCATTCCGCAACACATGCATTATTGCGTCTATTGTGGTGTTCTACGCAAGCTGTGATGATCCAAAAGCCTCTTTTACGGGCAACAAAACACAATTTGCCAAGATGAAGGATGTTATCACAAATGAAGAGAATAATTGTATGAAGGAAAAAACTTCAATAAGCCAACCTCTACAATCAGCACGACGGAAGAAAACCAGGCGGAATGCCCAAAACCAACATGGAACGAATCCAATCATAGTACAACTAACTTCAGACAATAACAATACAAAATCCAGACCTATGAATGTGATGTAAACTGTCATTGTCTCTCAGCCACTCACAGGCGGCCCTCAGCCACAGCCAACTCCCGCAGTGCGTTGACTGGTCGGTGGTACGATGATCTAGCTCCGCGAATGCACATAGTAGCTGACCGTAATAGTGCAAAGGCCAGGCGACAGCGTACATATGTCGGCATCTCCGCATACTTCTTTTCTCTCCCATGGAATGCAGACCACACAAACGCTTGATGAAACGCGAGCACTCTGGCGCACGACAACTGGCCGTGTTGAAAATGAGAGGTGTGAATGTACCACGATCCACATTGATTATGCGTTCAGCATACTCGGATTTCTTTCTGCGCTCGTGCTCGGCCAAAAGCTTCTCCAGTGGCTTCGCAGCATAGGAAGGCGCATCAGGGTGAAATACTCGAACGTCCATGTAGGCGTTCTGGGCCCGGGTCCACAGCCCCCCCCCCCCCCCCCCCCGCGCGAATATCTGCCCGGGCATCATCCGCTGTATTTGTCGACGCCGCGACAAACACCTCACCAGAGAGTGGCGCGAGCACTGGCTCCACAGCAACATCCACGCACACTTCAGTCAGCAAATCAGCCAGGATGTCTCGCACTTCGTTATGCCGTATTGTCGGGAATCCTCCAGTCGGGCAGCTCATGCCATGGGCTGCACTAAATGGACGGCCACAGGAGCAGGTTAACGGGACATTCGCCAGTGACCAGTCGTACCGCAGCGCCAAAGCATCACGGAAATCTCCTTTTGAGAGGTGGTAACCATGGTCCCGCAGTGGCAGTGGGTTGAGCCAGCTGGACACCCCTCAAGACGCCAGGTTCCCAAGTCGACGAGCCCCATCGAGCGATGCAGCCTGCTCCACCAGCTTGAAGTCATTTTCACTTGCTGCAACTCGCTGCTTGCTGGTGCATCTTTTTGCGTTAAAAGCAGCCTCCCTTATGCATTCAGTCCGGTGTCTTTCCCAGGATGTGTTGTTCTGATTGACTAGTTCAGCAACATGAGCCTCTGTTATCTTCACTGACGCGCCAAATTCCGTCTGACTCATCCTGTTGAACGACGGGATTGCCAGACCACCCAACCGGGTGGGCAGTCTCAGCATGCGTAAGTCCTCCTCTGTGAATGCACCACGACCCGTCAGTGCTGGGAGAAACTCGAAAGCGATGATATTGTCTAAGCTCTTGATGCACTCATCCGGGATGGGCACAGTGCGGAAAAGGTACACCCACCTACCCCGTAAACCATGGGTTAGTGCTGCATAGACAGCATGTGGTTCCGTCTTGGAAAACCGAGACAGCTTCCGCAACTCGCGCGACCTACCATCCACCCTCTTCCTCACGAGACCAGCCACCGCCTCAGGCTCACCAACAAATGACCCGAGATACTTGAATGCGCCGGTCACTATGCGGATCCCGGTACCAGCAAACACTTCGGACGCCTCCTCAGCTAAGTCTGGCTTGACGAGCAGAGTTGTCTTGTCTGGGTTGGTATGGTACCCGTAGAGGCACCCACGCTCCTTTGTGGTAGTCCACCAATCCCGCACCGCACGCAATCTCCCTGCGCCGCTGGAGTCGTCCGCATACCAAGTTTGGTTGACGTCTGTGTGTTCCCGTTGCAGGTGGTTGACGAGGGGGAGCGTCCCGAGTGCATAGACATAGGTAGCGGATCTCCCTGAGTCGTGCCTTCGTGTGAAGCTATCTCCCCGCCACCAGAGACGAACAGGCATGCACTGGACTGATAACAGTTCTGAAGTGTGGCGGACTGGGCACAATCGCTGGACATTGTGTAGCGCATCCTGTGTATTGATGCTGTTGAAGGCGTTACTCGCGTCTACCAACAGAACCACATTAGTGGAGGGCTGCTCATAAATTTGCCGCATCGCGTGGACAGCTGCCTCGATTCCACCGGGAAGCCCAGCGCACTTCTGTATGTATCCGCACGCTGATTCCACATCCTGCGAGGCGATGCGCAGAATCGCCTTGGCCACAATGCGTCTTAAGACCTCGCCCACGCCGATCAGGCGGATGCCGGGCTGTTTATCCAGGCAATCAAACGGCACGCCAGGAATGGAACCAGTTCCTCCACGGGCAGAGGACCAGCCGCCAATATGCGGGAAAGATCAGCGATGGCCTGACACATGCCTGTTGAGGCCCCGCCAAAGGCAGAGCACATACGCCTCCAACAGGCTGAGTCCAGCCCAGAGGGGCCAGCTGGACCCTCCGACTACAATGCCACGGATTTCAGTAGCTAAGCGGTGAGGCCATCAACGCGAATGCTGTTCACAGCCGCAGCATCACCCGGCAACATTGCCTCCGGACCCGCCGGCTGCGCCTTGGGATGCTTTCCAAGCAGTGCGTCCTTCGCCTGGGCCGATGAGCCGTCCCTGAGAGTTATGGTGCCAAAAATGTTCAGCACACCGCCGGACTCCCCCGGCTGGTCCGGGTCCAAACAGCGCAAGGCA